TGAAGGAGAAACACTTTTTACCCTAGAATAGTATCTGGCAAAAAAAAAAAAAAAAATCCTTCAAACCTGAAGGAGAAATAAAGATCTTTCCAGACCAAAAAAACGCTGAGGGATTTTATTAACACTAGACCTGTCCTACAAGAAATGCTAAAGGGATTTCTTCAATCAGAAAATGACCTTAACGAGCAATAAGAAATTATCTGGAGGTACAAAACTCACTGGTAATAGCACACAAAAACACAGAATATAATAATACTCTAACTGTGGTGTGTAAAATACTCTTATCTTAAAGACTAAATGATGAATAGATCAAAAATAGTAATTACAACAACTTTTCAAGATGTAGACAGTACAATAAGACACAAAGAGAAACCATAAAATGTTAAAAAGTGGGTGAATGAAGTTGAAGTGTAGAATTTTTATTCGTTTTATTTTTGCTTGTTTGCTTGTTTATGCAATTAGTGTTGTCATCAGTTTCAAATAATCGGTTATAAGATAGTTTTTCAAGCTTCATGGTAGCCTCAAATTGAAAAACACACAATGGGCACACAAAATATAAAAAGCAAAAAATTAAATCATACCACCAACAAAAATCAACTCCACTAAAAGGAAGACGGGAAGGAACAAAAAACAAGACCAGAAAACAAATAACAAAATGGCAAAAGCAAGTCCTTACTTATTAATAATAATATTGAATGCAAACAGACTAAAATTTCCAATCAAAAGACATACAGTGGTTGAATAAACACAATAGCAAGACCCATGACTGTTGCCTATAAGAAACACACCTCATCTATAAAGATATACATAGAGTGAAAATAAAAGGATGAAAAAAGATATTATGTGACAATGGAAGCAAAAAAAGGAAAGGAGTAGCTATACTTATGTCAGACAAAATAGATTTCAAGACAAAAACTATAATAAGAGACACAGAAGGTTATTGTATAATAATAAATCAGTCAATTCAGAAACAGAATGTAACAGTTGTAAACATATATGCACCCAACACTGGAGCACCCAGGCATATAAAGCAAATAATATTAGAGCTAAAGAGATAGATAGACTTCAATACAATAAAAGCTGCAGACTTCAACACTGCACTTTCAGCATTGGACAGATATTCCAGACACAAAATCAACAAAGAAACATCAGACTTAATCTGTACTATAGAACAAATGAACTTAATATATATTTACAGAAGATTTCATCCAGTGGCCACAGAATACACATTCTTCTCCTCAACACATAGCTCATTCTCAAGAATAGACCATATGTTAGGTTACAAAACAAGTCTTAAAACATTCAAAAAAATTGAAACACTATCACGCATATTCTCTGACCACAGTTGAATAAAACTAGAAATCAATAACAACAGGAATTCTGGAAACTATATAAACACATGGAAATTAAACAGTATGGCCCAGAATGATCAATGAGTCAATGAAGAAATCAGAAGGAAAATGAAAATTTTATTGAAACAAATGATAAGGAAACACAGCATGCCAAAACCAATGGAATGCAGCAAAAACAGGGAAATTTATAGCTGTAAAAGCCTTCATCAAGAAAGAAAGAAAACTTCAAATAAATAACCTAAGAATGTATCTTAAACAATTAGAAAGACAAGAGCAAACCAAACCCAAAATTAGAAGTAGAAAAAAATAATAAAGATCAGCACAGAAATAAATAAATTTGAAATTAAGAAAACAATACAAGAGATCAATGAAATGAAAATTTAGTTTTTTTAAACAATAAATAAAATTGACAAATCTTTAGCCAGACTAAGAAAAAAAGAGATCAGGGCCAAATACATAAAATAAGAGTTGAAAAAAATAGAGACATTAGAACTGATACCACAGAAATTCAAAGGATCATTAGTAGCTATTATGAGCAACTGTATGCCAACAAATTGGAAAATCTAGAGGAAATGGGTATATTCCTAGACATATACAATCTACCAAGGTTAAACCATAAAGAAATCCAAAACCCAAACAGACCATTAACAAGCAATGAGATCAAAGCTGTAATAAAAAGTCTCTCAGTAAAGAAAAGTCTGGGAACCTGATGGCTTCACAGCAGAATTCTACCAAACATTTAAAGAACCAATACCAATCCTACTCAAACTATTCTAAAAAGTAGAGGGGGAGGAAATACTTCCAAACTCCTTCTATGAGGCCAAAACCAAACAAAGACATCAAAAAAAGAAAACTACAGGACACACTATCTCTGTTGAATATTGATGCAAAAAGTCTTAGCAAAATACTAGCTAACTGAATTAAACAATACAGTAGAAAGGATATTCATTATGACTACATGGGATTTATCCCAGGGATATAAGAACACTTTAACATATGCAAATAAATCAATGTCGTACATCATATCAATAGAATGGAGGACAAAAACCATGTGATCATTTTAATTGGTGTTGTAATTGACAAAATTCAACACTCCTTCATGATAAAAATCCTCAAAAAACAGGCATAGAAAGAACATACCTTAACATAATAAAAGACTTATATGACAGACCCACAGCTAGTATCACACTGAATGAGGAAAAACTGAAAGCCTTTCCTCCAAGATCTGGAACACAACAGTGATGCCCACTTTCACCACTGTTATCCAACATAGTACTGGAAGTCCTAGCTAGAGCAATCAGACAAAAGAAGGACATAAAGGGCATCTAAATTGGAAAGGAAGAAGTCAAATTATCCTAGTTTGCAGATGATATGACCTGAAATTTGGAAAAACCTATAGACTCCAAAAAAAGTATATAACTGATAAACAAATTCAGAAAAGTTGCAGAGTTGGAAAAATAAAAGACATTAGAACTGATACCACAGAAACCAACATGCAAAAATCAGTAGCATTTCTATATTCCAACAGTGAACAGTCTAGAAAAGAAATCAAAAAAGTAATTCCATTTACAAATAACAGCAAATAAAATTAAATACCTAGGAATCAAAAAGAAGTGAAAGATCTCTGCAACGAAACTATAAAGCACTGATGAAAGAAACTGAAGAGGATACAAAAAAATGTAAAGGTATTTCACGTTCATGGATTGGAAGAATCAATATTGTTAAAACGTCTATACTACTCAAAGTAATCTACAAATTCAATGCCATCCCTATAAAAATACCAATGACATTCTTCACAGAAATAGAGCAATCTTAAAATTTATGTAGAACCACAAAACATCCAGAATAGCCAAAGCAAAAAGAACAAAACAGGAGGAATCACATCACCTGACTTCAAGTTATACTACAGAGCTACAGTAACCAAAACAGCATGGTACTGGAATAAAAACAGAAGCATAAATCAATGGAACAGAACAGATAACCCAGAAACAAATCCACACATCTCAAGTGAACTGTTTTTGACAAAGGTGCCAAGAACATACATTGGGGAAAGGACAGTCTCTTCAATACATGGTGCTGGGAAAACTGGATATCCAAATGCAGAAGAATGAAACTTGACTCATATTTCTAACCATATTCAAAAAAATCAAATCAAAATGGATGAAAGAGTTAAATCTAAGACCTCAAACTATGAAATTACTTCAAGAAAACACTGAAGAAATTCTCCAGGATATTGGCCTGGGCAAAAATTTCTTGAGTAATATCCTACAAGCACAGACAACTAAAGCAAAAATGAATAGATGGGATCACATCAAGTTTAAAAGCTTCTGCACAGCAAAGGAAATGTCAACAAAGTGAAGAGCCAACCCACAGAAGGGGAGGAAATACTTGCAAACTACCCATCTGACAAAAAATTTATAACCAGAATATATAAGGAGCTCAAACAACCCTACAGGAAAAAAAAAAAAAATCGGATTTAAAAATAGGCAAAAGATCTGAACAGACATTCCTTAAAAGAAGACATATAAATGGAAGCAGGCATATGAAAAGGAGATGAACATCAGTAATCATCAGAAAAATGCAAATCAAAACTACAATGAGATATCATCTCACCGCAGTTAAAATGGCTTTTATCCAAAAGATGGTCAATAACGAATGCTGATGAGGGTGTGGAAAAAAGGGAAACCTCAGACACTGTTGATGAGAATGTAAATTATTACAGTCACTACGGAGAACAGTTTGGAGGTTCCTCAAAATACTCAAAATAGAGCTGCCATACGACCCAGCAATCTCACTGCTTGGTGTACACCCAAAAGGAAGGAAAACAGTGTATGGAAGAGATTATCTGCACTTCCGTGATTGTTCATTGCAGCACTGTTCACAGTGGTTGAGATTTGAAAGCAACCTAAGTGTCCATCAACAGACAAATGGATAAAGAAAATGTGGTACATGTACACAACAGGGTACTGTGCCGACATAAAAAGAATGAAATTTTGTCATTTACAACAGCATAGGTGGAACTGGAGGTCATTATGTTAAGTGAAAAAAGGCAGACTTGGAAAGACAGATTTCGCAAGTTCTCACTTATTTGTGGGTGCTAAATATCAAAGCAATTGAACTCATGCAGATAGAGAGTAGAAGGATGATTACCAGAGGCTGGGAAGAGTAGTGGGGGATGAAGGAGGGAAGTAAGGATGGTTAATGGATACAAAACATATACATATAATTAGAATGAATAAGACAGTATTCGATAGCTCAACAGAGTGACTATAGTCAACAATACTTTAATTGTACATTAAAAAATAACTTGGGTCTGCCCGAGGGAGCCCGAGTGGCCTGCATTACTGAGCCCGGCACCACGGCGAGAGCTGGGAGAGTGGGGAGGGACGGGGCCGCAGCTGGTGGCGGGGAGGGGGGCGTGGTGAGCAGGTCGCGGGCTCAGGGTTTCGGGGAGTGTGTGTCGGCGAGGGCGGGGGGAGGTGGCTGAAGGGACGCGCCGCTCGGTGAGCGCGCCGGGGAAGAGAGGCAAGCAGAGAGTGGAGGAGGAGGAGGCGGCGGCGGCGGGAGCGCTCCCCGGGAATGTCTCTCCTGCAGCCACCGCCAGGGCCGCTGCCATTGAGGTGGAGGAGGAGACTGAGGAGACCAACCTTGTTAGGAAGATGATCCCTATGATCTTGAAGATGTTTCTGCACAGAAATGAGGGAAACACAAAGAACCAAATACAGTTCTGAAACTTGGGATCTGTATTTTGAGATGATTTTATTTTCAGAATGAGAAGCATATCTGGTTACCTTTATGAATGTAGAAACATGAGAGGAGAGTTATGATGGCAAAAAACAAAGAGCCTCGTCCCCCATCCTATACTATCAGTGTAGTTGGACTCTCTGGGACTGAAAAAGACAAAGGTAACTGTGGAGTTGGAAAGTCTTATTTGTCCAATAGATTTGTACGCGCAAAAGCAGATGAATATTATCCAGAGCATACTTCTGTGCTTAGCCCCGTTGACTTCGGAGGACGAGTAGTAAACAACGATCACTTTTTGTACTACTGGGGTGACATAACATAAAATGGTGAAGACAGAGTAGAATGCAAAATTCATGTCATTTAACAGAGTTCATTGATGACCAGGCTTTCTTGTCTCATCGGAGTACGAATTTGCAACCATATATAAAACGTGCAGCTGCATCTGAATTGTAGTCAGCAGGAAAACTAATGTACATTTGCACTGATCAGCTAGGCTTAGAACAAGACTTTGAACAGAAGCAAATGCCGGAAGGGAAGCTCAATGTAGATGGATTTTTATTACTCATTGATGTAAGTCAAGGATGCAATAGGAAGTTTGATGATCAACTTAAATTTGCGAATAACCTTTTTGTCCAGTTATCAAAATCAAAAATACCTGTAATAATAGCAGCAACTAAATGTGATGAATGCATGGATCATTATCTTAGAGAAGTTCAGGCATTTGCTTCAAACAAAAAGAACCTTCTTTTAGTGGAAATATCAGCAGGATTTAATGTCAACATTGAAACACGTTTCACGGCACTGGTACAAATGTTGGATAAAACTTGTAGCAAGCCTAAAATTACTCCCTATTTGGATGCTTATAAAACACAGAGACAACTTGCTGTCAGAGCAACAGATAAGTTTGAAAAACTTGTGCAGACTGTGAGAGATTATCATGCAACTTGGAAAACTGTTAGTAATAAATTAAAAAATCATCCTGATTATGAGGAATACATCAACTTAGAGGGAACAAGAAAGGCCAGAAATACATTCTCAAAACATATAAAACAACTTAAACAGGAACATATAAGAAAAAGGAAAGAAGAGTATGTAAATACTTTACCAAGAGCTTTTAACACTCTTTTGCCAAATCTAGAAGAGATTGAACATTTGAATTGGTCAGAAGCTCTGAAGTTAATGGAAAAGAGAGCAGATTTCCAGTTACGTTTTGTGGTGCTACAATAAACACCTTTGGATGAAACTGACCATATAGACAAAATTAATGATAGGCAGATTCCATTTGACCTCCAGAGCACTTTAGAAGCTGAAAAACTATCAGAACCATGTACGTCATCTAATATCCGAGAAGAGGAAGGTAGAAATGAAGGAAAAATTCAAAAAGACTTTGGAAAAAATTCAATTCGTTTCACCTGGACAGCCGCGGGAGGAAGTTATGTGCTTTGTTATGGAGGATGAAGCCTTCAAATATATCACTGAGGCTGATAGCAGTAAGGTAAGCATCAGTGAGAAATGGTTGAAAAAGCCAAAGAAGAGTTTCAATAATTGCTTTTTGAGCGTTCCGAACTTTTTTATGATTTAGATCTTAATGCAACACCTAGTTCAGATAAAAAGAGTGAAATTCATACGGTTCTCAGTGAAGAAGCTGGATATAAAGCTTTACAGAAACTTGCACCTGATAGGAACTCTCTTCTGCCTAAGCATATAGGATTTGTTTATCATTCCACTAAAGAAAGATGTCTTAGTGGTCAAAATTGTACAGACATTAAAGTGGAGCAGTTACTTGCTGGTAGTCTTTTACAGCTGGATCATGGCCGCTTAAGATTATATCACAATAGTACCAATATAGATAAAGTTAACCTTTTTATTTTAGGGAAGGTCGACCTTGCCCAAGAACTAGCAAATGAGATAAAGCACAGTCCTCTGAAGATGAGTATGCCTTAGATGGAAAATTTATGAACTGGATCTTCGGCCAGTTCACCTTACTTTTTGAGTCAGTTATGGACTGCCACCTTTAAACCACATGGGTGCTTCTGTGTATTTAATTCCATTGAGTCATTGAGTTTTATTGGGTAATTTATTGGGAAAATAAGAACTGAAGCTTATCAGATCAGAAAAGATAAATAAATGGCTAATCTTCCATTTACATTAATTCTGGCTAATCAGAGACATTCCATTAGTAAGAATCTACCAATTCTCAGGCACCAAGGGCAGCAGTTGGCAAACAAGTTACAATGTCCTTTTGTAGATGTACCTGCTGGTACATATGCTTGTAAATTTGATGAAACCCAAATAAAGCAAGCTCTAAGAGTACTGGAGTCAGGTAAACACAATTTGGATGTGGTGAGCCCAGTTCCTGCCAATAAGGACATATCAGAAGTTGACTTGAGAATTGTCATGTGTGCCATGTGTGGAGATCCATTTAGTGTGGATCTTATTCTTTCCCCCTTCTTTGATTCTCATTCTTGCAGTGCTGCTCAAGCTGGACAGAATAATTCCCTAATGCTTGATAAAATCATTGATTAAAAAAGGAGGCTAATACAGATCACAATATTATCATACCACTCTTCAATTGGAGTAAGAAAAGATGAACTAGTTCAAGGATATATATTAGTTTACTCTGCAAAACGGAAAACCGCGATGGGAATGTTTTGAGCATTTCTATCAGAAGTTCAAGACACCATTCCTATACAGCTGGTAGCAGTTACTGACAGCCAAGCAGATTTTTTTTTTGAAAATGAGGCTATCAAAGAGTTAACGACTGAAGGAGAACACATTGCAACTGAGATCACTGCTAAATTTACAGCATTGTATTCTTTATCTCAGTATCATCGGCAAACTGAGATCTTTATTCTGTTTTTTAGTGATGTTCTAGAGAAAAAACATATGATAGAAAATTCTTATTTGTCTGATAATGCAAGGGAATCAACCCACCAAAGTGAAGATGTTTTTCTACCATCTCCCAGAGACTGTTTTCCCTATAACAACTACCCTGATTCAGATGATGACACAGAAGCACCACCTCCTTATAGTCCAACTGGGGATGATGTACAGTTGCTTCCAACACCTAGTGACTGTTCCAGATAAAGATTAGATTTGGAAGGAAATGAATGTCCTATTCATAGTACCCCAAACTGTCATGACCATGAACGCAACCACAAAGTGCCTCCACCTATTAAATCTACTTCAGTTGTACCTAAGACAAATGTGAAAAAAAATGGATCCAAACCTTTTAAAAACAAGCGAAGCTGGTATTGGTAAAAATCCAAGAAAGCAGACTTCCCCGGTGCCTTTGGCACATCCTGAAGATATGGATCCTTCAGATAACTATGCGGAACCCATTGATAAAATTTTCAAACAGAAGGGCTATTCTGATGAGATTTATGTTGTCCCAGATGATAGTCAAAATTGCATTAAAATTCAAAACTCATGTGCAAATAACACCCAAGGACATGGAGAAAATGGATTTTCTGATAGAACCTCAAAAAATCATGGGGAATGGAGGCCTTCAAAATACAAATATAAATCTAAAACTTTGTTTAGTAAAGCCAAGTCATGTTATAGAAGAACACATTCAGATGCCAGTGATGATGAGGCTTTCACCACTTCTAAAACAAAAAGAAAAGGAAGACATCATGGAAGTGAAGAAGATCCACTTCTTTCTCCTGTTGAAACAAGGTGATATTGATAATCCTGAAATCACTTATGACCAGGAGTTAGATGATAAGAAGATGAAGAAGAAAATACGCAAAGTGAAAGAAGATAAAAAGCAGAAAAAGAAAACTAAGAACTTCAATCCACCAACACGTAGAAATCGGGCAAGTGATTACTTTGGGATGCCCTTCCAGGATCTGGTTACAGCTGAGAAACCCATACCAGTATTTGTTGAGAAACATGTGGAATTTATTGAAGATACAGGGTTATGTACCGAAGGACTCTACCGTGTTAGCGGGAACAAAACTGACCAAAACAATATTCAAAAGCAGTTTGATCAAGATCATAATATCAATCTAGTGTCAATGGAAATAAAAGTAAATGCTAAAGCTGGAGCCCTTACAGCTTTCTTTGCAGATCTGCCAGATCCTTTAATACCATATTCTCTTCATCCAGAGCTATTGGAAGCAGCAAAAATCCTGGATAAAACAGAACGTCCTCACGCCTTAAAGAAATTGTTAAGAAATTTCATTCTGTAAACTATGATGAATTCAGATACATGATAACACATCTAAACAGGGTCAGTCAGCAAAATAAAATCAACCTAATGACAGCAGACAACTTATCCATATGTTTTTGGTCAACCTTGATGAGACCTGATGTTGAAAATTGAGAGTTTCTGTCTACTACTAAGATTCATCAACCTGTTGTTGAAACATTCATTCAATAGTGTCAATTTTTCTTTTACAATGGAGAAATTGTAGAAACAACAAACACTGTGGCTCCTCCACCACCTTCAAACCCAGGACAGTTGGTGGAACCAACGGTACCACTTCAGTTGCTGCCACCATTGCAACCTCAGCTGATACAACCATAATTACAAATGGAACCTCTTGGTATTACATGAGTAGGAAGTGATCGCAAACAGGCTGGATTTGCACAAAAAGCAAATCTAGACGTGCATGTTTCAGGGTTCAGTAGTATACTTCATGTTTCATACAGATAATTCACATTCAAAATGACATTTTCTCTTTGAACTAGATGGTATTCCTTATTCACTTACATTACAAATCTAAGACCATGTGATAAGCATAACTGGAGAGGTTTATTTTGTTTTTATAAACAAAAATAGCTATAAAATACAAAGCTGCTGCTGCATGCAACCTTACTGCAATCAGTATATCATTCCTGTGGCAATTTCTGTCACATTATATTGTGAATAAAATTTTTCTATAGAAATTTAATGATTTTAAAACTCACCTATATGAAACATTTAATGCTTTTCAGTCTGCTTTTTGACTGATTTTGTTATTTGATGTGCTAATTTGGGCAACTTAATTTACATTCTGGCAGTCAGTGAAGATAACTAAAAGCCTAGTTAAGTATTTTATAATTTCAGGCTACTGAGGCCATGTTTGGGATGTTGTTTGAAAGAAAGAAAAAATACACTGACATATTTCACATGTCTGTACCTTCATTTTTACTTCCAAGTAAACCTGTGGATGATTCGATGAGGGATAAATGAACCTGTTTCTTTTACACACATACCAAGGACATGCTTGTGACTAAGGTGAGTTGATAATATTGTGCAAAGGATAGTTGTCACCAACTCATTTCTTTATGGTCCATAATGAAATAAACATTTCGTATACTGTTAATTCTGTAAACAGATGCATGTTCAAAAGATCTATGATGGTCTTGTAATCTTAATATATTTTAGATATTTTAATTTTTTCCCTCTTGGGGAATACATTTAGTACAGTGTAGAAAATACTTCATAACATTTGCATTAGTATTATATAACTTTTCATACATAAACATGAAATTTGTTGCAGAAAATTCTTTAAACCAAACATTTAAATCTAGGACTTCAATTTAATTTCTTCCTTGTATCTATTTTTATGTGGCCCTTAAAAACATATCCAAAAAACCAATAAAAATACTTTGGCTACTGACAAACTCTTTGGAGTGTTTATATTACAAATTTGTATTCATGTTCTTTTCTGTGATGTGTTGTCCTAAAATCCAAGATGGCTTTTGCACCATTTTTAAGCCATTTTTTTTCCTTTGATGTTGGTACCAGAATTACTATAAATGACTGCTGCTTTTGGGGGTAAACATTTTGTTAGTGAAAATAAAACCAGAACACTAAATTATGCATAAAATTTTCAGAATAGGTGGCACAGATAAATTTCACTAGGTTATATTTTGTGTAGTAAAGAATAAAATTCTTTGGTCAATGTTATCTTAATTCAGACTACAATTTTAAGATTATCTTGTATGTATTACAGTAAATAGATGATTTTCAGAAAAAAATAACTCAAAGAGTATAATTGGATTGTTTGCAATTCCAAGGATAAATGCTTGAGGGGATGGATACCCCACTTTCCAAGTTGTAATTACTGCTTACTACATGCCTGTCAAAGTATCTCAAGTACCCCATAAATATATACACCTACTATATACCTACAAAACAATTTTTTTAAAATTTTTAAAATCTTAAAAAATAAAGCAGACTGGTGAATCTAAACAAGTATTAGTATTATGAAACCTTAGTAATAATTGTTTTCAAGGAAGGTAGAAGTAGGTATAAAGTAACTTTAGACTGTACGCCAAGTATGTGTGGTATGTTTAAGAGTAGCTTAACATAACATGTAAGAGTAGCTCCTAGCAATAGGGGTAGAATATATAAGCTCCCAACTAGTACGATGAAATGATGAGTTTAAATCCATTAAGTCAAAGTAAGAAACAAGAAAAGAAAGAAGAAGCAGGGCAATTAGAAACTGTAAAATAAAATGACAGAAGAAATGCAAATATAACATTAATCACAATATATGTAAATGAGATAAACACATTAAAACAGAGTTTGTAGGATTAGATTTTGATAAAGCCTAACTAAATGATACTTGAAAGAAACACTTGAAATTACTACACAGAAAGGTTGAAAGTAAAAGAATGGAGAAAAAATAAACTCGTTAAATACTAATGAAAAGAAATCTGGTTCAAAGGTAAGAATGTCAGACAGATTAAATTTTAGGCAAAAGGATTATAAGAATATATCATAAAACATTAAATATAAAGAAAAAATGTACAGAATCAAAAAGGTAGACTGAGAAATATAACAGCACATGAGAGATTAAAGAGAAAAAACTTTTGAACAAATAGTTACAGGTTGCTTCTTATGGGCCAAACACTCTTTGAGTTTCAGGGGATGCTACAAAGAGAAAAATGAATTCTCATAAAAATGCTTGCCCTCATGGAGCTTATACTCTGGTAACATGTATATAGTATTCCATGGGGGTGAGTACTATGGAAAAATAGAAGACAAAGGAGGAACATAGGGAGAGGATTGGCCTTGCTGAAGAGTGTTTAGGAAAAGCCTCTCTGGAAATGGAGTTTTTGAGCAACATTTAAGGGAGGTAAAGAAGCAAGGACAGACATCTGGATTTCTAAGGGAAGAGTATTTCAGCAGAAATAACAACTTCTAAGACCTCAAAGGGGGCATGTCCAAGAAGCAGTAAATGGGCCAGTAGTTTTAGAATGTGTTGATTTAGAGGATGACCTAGTGGCAGGAGAGTAAGACCAAAAGGTAAAGACTGGAGAGAGAGAAAGTCACACAGTGCCTGCAGGTTATTGTGTGAACCTGTGAGGAGGACAGGCTGTGGAATGGGAAAGGAAGGGAAGAGTCAAATCTCAACAAGCGTCACACTGACGTATTTCATGAAGAGTGGGATTAAGTTAGATATCAGTGAAGAATAGCTTAAAATTTACACAGCTGGACATTTACAAATGCATTTCTCAACAACTTGTGGGTCAAATATTACACATAATAAATATTTTAAGATACCTAGATGTGAACAAAACATAAATACAGCATATCAAAATGCATGGGCTATAGTCAAAGTATTATGAGGACAATTTATATTTATAAATGCTTATTTATAAAAGCCCAAAAACAGGCTTAACAAGTTAGAAAATGAGGCCAGGTGCAGTGGCTCATGCCTGTAATCCCAGCACTTTGGGAGGCGGAGGTGGGCAGATCACGAGGTCAGGAGTTTGAGACCAGCCTGACCAACACAGAGAAGCCCCATTTCTATTAAAAATACAAAATTAGCCGGGCGTGGTGGCACATGCCTGTAATCCCAGCTACTTGGGAGGCTGAGGCAGGAGAATCGCTTGAACCCGGGAGGTGGAGGTTGCAGTGAGCCGAGATTGCGCCACTGCACTCCCTGGGCAACAAGAGCAAAACTCCGTCTCAAAAAACAAAAAAAAAGAAAAAGAAAAAGAAAGAAAGAAAAGAAAATGAGCAGCAGAGTGTTCTTTACGGAGTCTTGCTCTGTCACCCAGCCCGGAGTGCAGTGGCCGGAACTCAGCTCATTGCAAGCTCCGCCTCCCAGGTTTACGCCATTCTCCTGCCTCAGCCTGCCGACTACCTGGGACTATAGGCTCCCGCCACCTTGCCCAGCTAGTTTTTTTGTATTTTTTAGTAGAGATGGGGTTTCACCGTGTTAGCCAGGATGGTCTGGATCTCCTGACCTCGTGATCCACCCGTCTCGGCCTCCCAAAGTGCTGGGATTACAGGCTTGAGCCACCGCGCCCGGCCAGAGTGTTCTTAAAGAAAACTGAGGGAAGACAATATGTGGAATCTGAATCTAAAAAGATCAAATACGTAGAAGCAGAGAGCAGAACGGTTGTTATGAGGGGCTGAAGGGTTGGGAGAAATGAGGATAAGAAGGTTAAAGGGTACACACTTGCAGAATAAGATATGAAAACCTAATGTACAGCATGGTAACTACACTTCATAGTAACATATTATGCACTTGAAATTTGCTAAGAGAGTAGATCTTAACTATTCTCGCCAGGTAACAACAACATAACAAGTGGCTAGGTGAGGTGATATGCTAATTACCTTAATTGTGGTTGCCATTTCACAATATATAGGTCTATGAAAACACCACATTGCATACCTTGAATATATGTAATTTTTATTTGTCAATTAGGCCACAACATAGTTAAAAAAAAAAAAAAAAAAAGACAGAGAGCATATGGAAAAGTAGGGAGGGAAACGAATACAGTAGAAAAATTGATTAACCTAAAACTGAGTTCTTGAAAAAGACTAATAAAATTCTTAAACCTATTGCATGATTGACCAAGAACAAAAAGATAAAAAACAAAGAAATATTGATAGCAATAAAAATGGGTACATAACTAGGTATCTATACAGAATTACAATGGAAGGAAATACTATAGTCACATTTTACAAAAATGAAAATTTAGGTAAAATTCAGTTTTTCAGAAAAAATATATTTCACAATATAAACTCAAAAAATTAAATAGATTTCTAGAAATATAAAATAAAATGCAAGAAGAATAAGGAAAGAAGGAAGGAAGAGAGGAAGGAAGGAAGGAAGGAGGGAAGGAGTCAAAAACTGGAAGAGAACAAGGATACTGATTCTTAGTATTACTACTGTGTGTTCAGTGCAGTAAGATGGCAAAAAAATACAAGATACAAATACAGAATAGAAAGATTTAAAGGAAGAAATGGTTTAATTTGTTAATTGTTAGATTAATAATATATAAATAATTACAAAAAATGGTAAGTAAGCAATTCCCATAGAATTGTTTATTGTTCATGATTTTGAACTGGATTCTATACCGGA